CTGTTCGTGGGGCAAATTTTGGGTCTTTGCAAGGAGATCCATTTTCTTTTCATATTTAATGTGTCTCATCAAGTCTGGGTCTTACACACACACACACACACACACACACACACGTGTGTGTGTGTGTGTGTGTGTGTGTGTGTGTGTGAGAGAGAGAGAGAGAGAGAGAGAGAGAGAGAGAGAGAGAGAGAGAGAGAGAGGTACATGTGATGGGTATGATCCTTTTTCCTTCTCTCTATGAGTATCCTCCAAGCCTGTGATCTGCTTTCTACAGGTGTCCTTTCCATGTCTCCACCTATCTTCCCGTCTCACGTTCTTAGAGGACGTGGAGATAATTAGTAACAACACCGGTTCTTGCAGTAGACACTATATAAAAGAGTAAGTGCCATCCCTTAGCCTGTCCCTGTGTTCTAGGCTCTAGGAAGGACAAGAAACTGGGTAGAAACTAACATTGCCACTCTGTGATTGAGATGGCTGACATTGTGGGACACCCAGCCTTTTCCTAGATTTTTTTTCTCTAAAGGTTGAACAATCCCATTTGAATACAATTTCATACTTCTAGTCCATCTACTGGACCATACTCCTCAGCCTTGAACCTTGTGAGGTTAATATTTTGTCAACTTGACACATGCTAGAGTTGTCTAGGGAAAAGAAACCTCAATTGAGAAAATGCTTCCAAGAGAATGGCCTGTAGGCAAGTCTGGGGGAGCATTTTCTTGATTAATGATTGGTGTGAGGCAGCTCAGCTCACTGGGGTGGTGCCATCATGGGCTGGTAGGTCTGTAGAGTGTAAAAAAGCCAGCTGAGCAAGCAGCAGGGAGCAAGCCAGTAAGCAGCACTTCTCCGTGGCTTCTGCACCAGCTCCTGCCTCCAGGTTCCTGCCTTGAGTTTCTGTCCTGACTTCCCTCAGTGATGGAGTGTGACCTCGGAACTGTAAGCTAAAATAAACCTGTCTTTCTTCTGGTCATGGTGTTTATCACAACAGAAAACTAGCTGGCTCTTTGTAGAGCATCTCTGCCCTGCAGCCACCAGAGGGCGCAAGATGGGCTGGTGGCCATTGTCAACTGGCCACTGGTCCTCATGACCTACTTCCTGAGGCTGAGTTAGGCTTCCAGGAGAGCAAGTGAGCTACACAAGGGGTAGAAACTGCCTGGCCATCTGGGCTAGCTTCTGGGGTCCCACAAGACTATTGTTTGGCTATCTCATCTGACATTTCTCACTCCCTCCTGCTCCCAGAGGATAGGTAGGAATCACTGGCCACTGTTGCTGGTCACAGCTTCAATGTCTTCTTTTGAACATCCTGGGCAGATACTTTTTTGCACTATTTGGGGGTAGTGCAACCTGCCAGCTTCTTTCTGGAAGCTTCCCTGTCCTCTAACCAGCTAACTTGGGCCTTCCCGTGTTCTGAAGAGCAGCCTTCATCTCTGCATGCTAACTCCATGTGCAGTAGGTTGTCCTCCTGGGCCATTTGTCACTCCCTCCTGACCCCATCCCAGGCCAGACATGGCTTTTTTTTCATACCTTACAAATAGTGAATTAATCATTTACCCTGCTTAAGAGCAGATATAACCAGTGAGAAGACGCCTGCACACTCTCCTGAAGCATGCTGCCATTTTCTGTTTGCCTTTGAGAAGTTCTTTAGTGTCTTTAATGGCAGTGTCCTTATCTGCAGAAGAGATGACCAGGCCCAAATCACAGGTGTGGGGAAGGGTCAATGTTCTGACAGAGCACTTCCACTGAGCAGGCCCTGAGGTGGCATTTTGAACATGACAAGGTGATGGGAAATGAAGGTTCTGATGGATGTAGAAGAGTTCAGCTTGCTAGATGCATAGGGGAGGAGCAAGCTGCTCTTCTGGGAGGAGGCTGGGGATTGCTCTCCATGTGAAGAAAGAGTATTTCTCTAGCTGATCACCCACAGCAAAAGCACAAGCCACTTTCTTTAAGATCTGAATCGGCTGCCTGTAATTAGTTTCCCACTTAGCTCAATAAATTCCCTTGTAAGCATATAATTCATTATAAATAAATATTACCATGGAGATGGCATGATTATAATAATTCTTAGAGTGTTTACTCTATACGAATGATTATTAACCATATGCATTTCACTATTGTGTGGCAAATTCCCAGGCCCTTAATGAGCAAGCCATTTTCATGTTTACGTTTTGATTGTTATTTTCATGAGCAAAATTTTGCCAAGCTCAGAAACATTATGAGAGAGTAGGAGCATTGAAGACAATGATCTGGTTGATGGCTTTCATTTCAGTCTGGGTCAGAGATTCGCGAGGGCCCATGAGGGCAATGGTGAAGTTCATATATGTTTATTTTTCTCACTTTTGAAGTGTGAAGAGTAATTTTCCAGAGTTCGTACTCAATCAGATGACACTTTTTAGTAGTCAAGGTCACATGAACACATTATAGGCTACACAGCAGACAGACACTTGATTGTTTTGCATCAAGCCCTAGTTCTATTGTATTTTTTAAAAATAACTATGTACCTATTATGAACTCTAACTTATAAGTTAGCACAGTAAAAGACTGGCAATATTGATCATGGTGGTCTTGATGAGATATGTACCCATATTTAAACATTTGGTCCAAGGTTGGTGGCACTGTTTGGGGAGGTTTAGGAATGGTGACGTCTCTGGAGGAAGTGTGTCACTGGTGGCTGGCTTTGAGAGCTCACAGCCTCCCTCTGCTTTGTGCTTGCAGTTGAGGATGTATGCCCTCGGCTCCCACCAGCCATCACGCCCACTGCCATGTCTTCCTGCACGATGGACTCTTAGTCCCCTGCAACTGTAAGCCCAAATAAACTCCCCCTTCTGTAAGCTGCTTTTGGTCACAGTGTTTCATCACAGCCATAGGAGGTAATTGACACATTAACTCATAATAGAACTATGGTGAGAATAGACTCGAAGGAATCTTTTTTTGGAGAATAGTTGCTCAGGAAGGACAGAAGTTGTAGAAAGCAAATCCCAAAACTTGGGGGACTATTTCATGTACTTGCATTTTCTTGAGTTCAAATATTTTCTCAGCTTCATTTCTAAAATGTAAGCACTAACAAACACCACCCATTGTTATGGCTTGAAAGTGAAATGTCTAGTGAGAGAGATGTCTCAGTGGGTGAGGTGCTTGGCACACAAGCATAAGGCTCTGAGTTCAGCTCCCTAGAGCTGGGCATGCTGACAGGAATGCCTGTAATCTCAGCACTGACCTGAGATAGGAGGCAGAAAGGAGAATGCCCAGAAGCCTGCAGACCAGGTAGCCTGGTGTATGCATCAGCGAATGAAAGACTGTCTCAAACATGGTGGGAGAACTAATATCCAAGGCTGCCCTCTGACCTCCACACCTATGCTGTGACAAACATGCAACCATAGACGTACACATTACACATGGATACACGCACCACACACATCATACACAGGCTCACACACCACCCAAAATGTCCCCCAGAGGCTCACATGTTTGAACACTTGGTTGCAAACTGGTAATACTGTTTCGAGATGTTATGGAACTTTTAAGAGGCAGGGTCTCACGGGAGGAAGTAGGCCACTGGAGGAGGGTTTTGCTTGTAGTCTGGGCTCTCTCCACTTCCTGGTCAGCACGATGTGAGCAAGCTGTGACAAGAACTCCTACAGCCTCAGTTACCACGGCTTCCATGGTGGAATGATGCTTCGAAACTACGAGCCGGAGTAAACCCCCCCCCCCCCCCCACACACACAGCTTCTGTCACCTATTGTGATACACTGAGGAGGAGGCCAAGGCGCCTGCCTGGGCACCTCTCTGGGCCCTCTCTAATTTTAAGTCAGTTCCTGGACCCTAGGTGCAGTAAACCCTGGGTTGTGTCTACCCCATGTGCAGATAGAAGCAGTTCTCCTGGGTGCTGTGGTCTTAGCCGGATGCCTGCGATTCTGGGGAGGAAGGAAAAGCAGGAAAAAGAGGGAAAGAGAAGGAGGAAAGTTCTGTCCCAGGGTCCCTGCTACTCCAGCCCTATGACAAATCGCTGGACTGTGTAGGTTCCTGACAACTGCCTTGGTGACTTCACAAAGTCTCCAGTTTGACTCTGAGCCCTGGCATTCGGACTTGGTCTGCTGGTTGGTTCCTGTGGCCTCAGCTGGGCTCTCTGCCCTGTGTCCACCGGGCCTGCTGAGGTGCCCTGCACACAGGACTCCATCTGTGTGACGCAAACCTCCTCCAGCTGGGCTGCTCCTATGGGAGGGCAGGGCCTCTAGTCTCCAAGGCCTCAGGTGAGTGCAGCCACTTTTGGCCTGGTCTGCTACAAACTCACCCCCAAGCAGGGCTGAGAAGGAAGATCCCACCTGTAAGTGTGTCCCCACTCGGGGCCGAGGAGGAAGATCCCACCTGTAAGTGTGTCCCCACTCGGGGCCGAGGAGGAAGATCCCACCTGTAAGTGTGTCCCCACTCGGGGCTGAGGGTGGCTATCCCTCCCACCTCTTCATAGAAAGAAGCGAGAAGAAAAGGGTGATACTGTGGTGCAAGGTAGAGCGGTTCTGCAAACAGCCAGTGTGTCCCTCTCTGCCACTGTCCCCCTGATCCTCCACTGTCCACTGAGGCACCGCCGCCTCTCCTTGGGAAGGTGTAAATAAATCATCACTGATGACCATTTGCCCGAGAAAGGGATGGGAGCAAAAGCTCCAGACCTCACCTTAGCACGTGACCCCATGCTTCTCATCTGCTTACCGCTATTTGTAAGAAGCAGATGTTTGGAATTATAACTCATTTTGCTCTGAATCAAGGATGATTTGGGTTCTCAGATTGCTCTCTGAAACCTGCTTTGTGTTGACAGGACTTGGACATTAGCCAGCAACGTGCACCTGTAGGTCCTGATTCAAGTCACCCAACATCCCAGTCCCCAGAGTTCCGTGAGCATGGAGTGTGACTCACGTCAGTCATTTTCAATTATTTCTTATAAATATATGCAGCTGTGAGAATGGTTAGGGGATATAAAACCTTTCACATGCAAGATGGTTCTGAGATGAAGCGAGGACTTAAGGTAGCACCAAGGTGACAGGCTGTGTTTGTTCTAAATTAAAAGACAAAAGCCAGAGAATTTGGAATCTTCAGGAGAGAAAGGAAATGATTTCATTGTCTTGATTTCCATGCTTTCTTTTTTAATTGCAGGGTTTGGATTTTAAAAGAAACGTTAACATTTGCAAAGGTGGGATCCTTAGCTCACATCAAGCCTCTTGTTCCCATGCCAGCAGCCTGGAGATTCTAAACCACAGACCGCCTTGTGTCGTCCTGCAGCTCTATCTGGAACTCAAAGCATCAGTATGAGCAACCTGGCTGTCACTGCTGGATCTCACGAAGAGATTCTCAGAATATACCTACCAAAGGAACCACTTTTCAAACCCCTAACTTGAGGAAAAGTCCTTTAAGATTTTAGTGCACAGAAATCATAAGCCCGTGGACAAAGCGCCCCACGCTGAAGCCGTCCAGAAGGCTCTTCTGCACTAGTGAGCCACGCTGAGATTAAGACTGATTAGCGGCATCAGGCTGTAAGTGGGATGAAATATGCTGCCACGTCTCGAGGAGTCATCCATTGGAGTTACCACTTGTCCGATTCCCGTCGGCAGCTGAATTTATCACACAGGCATGAAATCCGCCTGTAGCCTGTTCCTGGCTGCCTGACTCTTAATCAACTACCCACTCTTGGGGATTTTTGGCTGCCTCACCTGGTTATGCCAATAAATCTGAGTGAATAGCTGCTTGATTTGTTATTGATTTCCCCATGGACAAATTTGGAGCTTCATCTTCAACGATCAGTCTTCACCGTGGAAAGCCAGGGCAAAGGAAAAGCCTTGGCCACCTGGGGCGGCTCGGGGGCCACTTCTTTGTGTTAGAGCACTTACCATCTCAGATGACTGAATTTAGTTGGTGCCATAGATATTCTGGTTCAAGGGGAGAGAGGAGGAGTATGTGGGGGATCACGCATTCCTCACAGCCTGGCAGATCAGGGAACAGAAAGGAGATGCAGCAGAGCTGGACCCTAACACCTGTGGTCTTCCTCCGCTATGGCCACACCAGCTAGTCCTGACATCTCAAAGGTCCTACAACCTCACAAAGCATCGAAACCTGCTGTGGTGGACCAAGGTTTCAGTCAAGATCTTTGGTTGGGAAACAGTTCACACTGAGACCATCACAACAGTTAAAACTGGCTATGCTTGCACTGTTCTCAGTGTGAGCCAAACTGAGACCCCATGAGTGAAAACCCCCAGAATAGGAACACTGGAGCATCAGTGTTTCTCTAAATGGCTGCCTCACCCTTCCTGAGAATCTGAGCTCAAAGCCAACTCAGCTGGAGATTTTACCCCTATTGTCTGGGTTGATCTTTGTGTTCTCCTTAGAAGTGGCTTGATCTGGAATCCGGAGAAAGAAGTAGCTTCTGGAGACGGAGACGCAGCGAAGACCGGAGAGGGAGATGTGGTCTCATCTCATGACTTGCAGATGCATCTAGGACACCATCAGTCATGACTTGCCATTTTAGAGAGAAAAATCACCTTGGCCCCTTCCCCTGGCTTTCTCACCAAATCTTACAACTGTCCTTGTTTATCAATGTGGAGCGACTTTCTCCTGTGCTGGCTGTACACGAGATCTCATGCTGCCTATACAAAGAAAACCTCACGGGAAGATTGTTTAAATTAACCTAATGACTATTTTACGTGTGTGTGTGTGTGTGTGTGTGTGTGTGTGTGTGTGTGTGTGTGTGCCAGCATACACATGTGAGTTCAGATGTTCATGGAGGCCAGAAGAGGGCATCAGATCCCTTGCAGCTGGAGTTATAGGCAGTTTTGAACTACCCAGTGTGGGTGTGAGGAACTGGACTTGGTTCTCCAGGGGAGCAGTACACATCTTAAGTGCTGATCCATTTCTATATTTCCAAACTTTTAGTTTTTTGAGACAGGTTACCATACAGTCCAGGCTGGCCTGGAACTCACTATGTACATAACTGAAGATGATCTTCAACTTCTCATCCTTTGGCATCTACCTCTCCAATGCTGAGATTTCTTCTACCCAGGTTATGCAGTGTTGGGTATCAAACCCATGCACTTTGTGCATGGCAGGCACCAGCCCCAACTCCAACCCCAGCCCTAATCCCAGCCCTAACTCCAGCCACAGTCACAGTGGCAGACTCAGACCCACAGACCTAGACCCAGACCCAGACCCAGACCTAGTCACAACTGCAACCCTAGACCCAGACCCAGACCCAGACCCAGCCACAGCCCCCAGACCCACACCCAACTACAGCCACAACCCTAGACCCAGCCACAACCACAGCCTCTAGACCCAGACCCAGTGACAGCCACAACCCCAGACCCAGCCACAGCCTCAGACCCAACTACAGCCCCAGCCCCAGCCCCAGCTACAGCTACAGCCATAGCCTTAGCCCCCAGACCCAGCTACAGCCACAGACCCAGACTCCTTTCAAGAGTTGTTTGAGCAGGAGGATGTTTGTATTCTCCCTCTTTTCATTTATGGAGCCTGTGTTGGGGCTTTGGTTTTACATGTCCCCCAGCAGCCTTCTCACTGGAACACGCGTCATCTACCTGCTTGTCTGGAGGGCTGGGTTGTGGAGTTTCTTTGTGGCAATCTGAGTTCACTGTAAGAGGCTACTAGATCTGAAACAAAACACTGAGACCCTTAGGAGTATTCATCTCTCCTGGTAAACAGCTATAGGTTTGGGATGTGAATCTTAAAAGTGCATTCATCAGGCTTCAGGGTTTCAAAATGGAAATCCTAAGTCTTGGCAATACACAAGAAATAGAATTTTGAAACTCAATTGCACCTTTGGTGGGTGCTGAGGGAAGAGCCTCTAACTCAATTCTCAGAGCTATTGAGCTTTTATCTGCAGGCGTTTGCTGTCAGGGAAACTTCTGTTCAAATTTCTCTACCAAGCAACCTGGCCTAAAAGAACTGGTTGGAGGGACGAGCCTTGTGAGCCCCGCCTCCCCGGTGACAGTGCCCATGGTGTTCCCTTGTTGACAGTTCTCCAGTATGCACCCTGCAGAAGGAGTGGCAGGGAGCTGCAGGGGGCATGTGCCCATCAGAGGGGCTGTAGGCAGCCTCTGAGTCTGCTGCAAGCCTCTGCACATCTGTGCTTTTGGAGACCTTGACTTCCTGTGTCCTAGACAAACTCTGTCTGGCATAGAATGGATAGCTGCTGTCATCACTCTATCCCATCCCATCCCTGCTGTCACTCTATCCCATCCCATCCCCTGCTGTCACTCTGTCAGCCCCCAATTTATTTGTTTGCTGAAAATTTCATGCACACATATTATTTGAGCTTGTTTTCAAAATTAAAAGTAAAAATTTTAATGTTTTTGCCCCTTCAGGTCCTCTGTCTCTGTGTTTCTGTCTGTATGATTTTCTTTTGATTCGGATTATAGCTCATGGACCATGTTCAATTAACTTCCCCTCTTGTGTTTCTTCCTTCCTTCCTTCCTTCCTTCCTTCCTTCCTTCCTTCCTTCCTTCCTTCCTTCCTTCCTTCCTTCCTTCCTTCCTTCCTGCTGTGGATGATTGATTGATAAATAAAACTCTGACTGAACAGTAGCCAGGCAGGAAGGATAGGGTAGGTGGGACAAGGAGGAGAAGAATTCTGGGAGGTGGAAGGCTGAGGAAGAGAGACACCGTCAGCCGCCACCATGACAAGTGAGATGCAAGGTACCGGTAAGCCACGAGCCACGTGGCAACTTATAGACTAATAGAAATGGGTTAATTTAAGATATAAGAACAGTTAGCAAGGAGCCTGTCATGGCCATACAGTTTGTAAGCAATATAAGTCTCTCTGTGTTTACTTGGTTGGGTCTGAGTGGCTGCGGGACTGGCGGGTGAGAGAGATTTGTCCTGACCATGGGCCAGGCAGAACCAGGAAAACTATAGCTACTCCTCCCTCCCTCCCTCCCTCCCTCCCTCCCTCCCTCCCTCTCTCCCTCCTTCCTTCTCTCTATCTCTTTCTTTTTGAAACAGGGTCTCACTAAGTAGCCTTGGCTGGCCTTGAACTCAAAGACATCCTCCTGCTTCTGCTTCCTCTCTGAACAGGACAGGGCGCAACAGAGAGAGCTTGGCTGGGAAATGAAAACAAATCTCCACTCAGCCACTGGCAATGCTGAGACCCCAGCAGCCACCTGAAGCTCTGTGAGTTCCCTGAGCATCCATTTTCTCATTGGAAAATGGAGATTATCACAGCCGCATTTTGGGGCTACTGTGTAGTAAAACCGTCCAAGTCTCCAAATCAGCCACGGCATGAATAAAAAGACAGCCACTCCTAGAAGATGCTGTAGTAACCATGGACAAGATGTGTCCACTGCCTGTTTGGTTTGACTACAGCAATTATAAAAAGATATTTTCAAGGCGCTCGAGAAGCCTGAATGTGGACTTTCTGTCAGACAGTATTAAGGGAGAATGTTTATTTTATAAAGTCTAATAATAGCATTGTGGTTTACAAGTAAATGTATTTTTATTTAAGAGACAGATACAGAAGTGTTAAGCTAGAATTGAACTGTCTTAAAGCCAGGAAATTATTTTTAAAATGCTTAAGCAAAAAGCATCAGAAGCAAACAGCAGAGTCCTAACCATCAAATCAAGCAGACATTTGGGCCTGGCACACTCTTTTCCTTGGTGCCTGGTACAGTTTTTACAATGAAGGGTTACAGCAATGGTCTGTGCAAACGTCTCTGCAGGGGCCCACGGTGCTTCGGGTGTATAAAGTTGTTGGTATGCATTTATTGATATTTTTCTTTACCCAAGAAAGGAAATGCATGAGTTGAGTATATGACCAGGAGAGCAACAAACGTGGCCCGACACTTCCTCTTAAACTTACTTGGATAGTTATAAGACCTTCTTTAAATTTTTAAAGCTCGGTTGTGCCATCCTGGACCATGGACTTTGTAAACTACAGCCTCACATTGCTATGTCAAAACGTTGGACACACCAGCTCTAAGGTGCATTTCAGTTCTCCTCAGGAAGGGAGATGGCCACTTTCAATTTAAGAACTGAATAATGGTCTCGAATCTGTAACTAAATTCTCTACAATTTTATTTTTAAAAAAAAATCAAAAGACTAAGATTAGAACTCAGCATGGCTTCTGTTTTGTGTTCACTGTGTGCCAGCGTAAAGGGTCAGGTGGGCCATTTCCTGCTTTCCGACTTCCACCCTAGCCAGACAACTCGGGGCTTACCCGGTCTGGCTGATAGGGTGTGATGGAGATGCAGCAAAGCTGACAGGTGGAAAGGACTCGTGTGGGGCTCCCTGCCATTGGAGCCACGGCCTGTGGTGGTTCTGCCTCTGTGGGTTGTCATCTTAGAACCACACAAGTGCGGTCAGGCCTCCGCTCACACTGGGCTGTGGGAGCCAGGCTACTCCAAGGGGAGTGAGTGCCATCTATGGCAGTGGTTCTCAGCCTTCCGAATGCCGCAACCCTCTAATACAGTTCCTCATGTGGTGACCCCCAACCATAAAAGGTTTTCATTGCTACTTCATAACTGTAATTTTGCTTCTGTTATGAATCATATTGTAAATATCTGATATGCGACTCTCAAAGTGGGTCTCAGCCATTGATCTATGGGCAAGACCATAGCTTGAATCTCCTTTCCCCTTCCACTGCTCCCCCCTGTGGATTTGGATCCTAGTCCTTGCTGTCCTCATTCCTTCCTGGGGAAGGGGACTCTGTAACTGTTCAGGGTAGAAATGGTCCCCAGGTTTGAATAACACCATTCAGGAAATACAATCCTCTACTGCCTATTTGAAGCATGCCCTTGTCTGGACATGTGTTGCATGGATGATTCAAGGAACTCTAATTCCATGGAAGCAATTCCCAGTTATCTGCTGAATGTTACTCACATACCATTCTCCAGAGAGCCCTGATCCCAGGGAGGGCGTAAGCCCTGTACATGAGCAGCACTTGGTGGGCTCAGCCGGTGGTTTGGGTCTGTCCCACAGAGGCCTCTATGTTGAAAATTTGGTTCCTGATGCAGCAGTGTTGAGATGGGCTGTGGGATATGACTGGATCATGGGTACCCTTCCCGCTGGTGGGCTGGTCCACTGATTGACTGACGTTTCTAAGGGCTATTGGTAAGAGGTAGACACTTTAGATGATGGCATCTGACCAGGTGATTCCTTGGGTGGAGTAACTGCAGAGTGTACCCTCCTCCACCCATCTTTCCTCCTTGTCCTCTTGATCTCTTGGATTGCAGGCCATTATTAAATTATCTATTCCTCTTCCACACTTCTCATTGCCATGACAACCGTCCTCATCTCTGCTCAAAGCAATAGAGCTAGCCAAGCATGGATTTAAAACCTCTGAAAACATGAACTGAAATAAATCCTTCTTTTACATTGTTTATCTCAAAATGATGGAAAGGGACCACAGGATCTGACTCTGAACCAGATAAGGCCACCTGTGACTCTCCTGCCAGTCTTCCTGTAGGATTCTCAGATGGGAGGACTCAGCCTTCCTGTTGGATAGACAGGGTGCAAGGGGATGACCGAGAGGGATTGCTGGCTGAGTGGGTGTCTGAACATCAGGCTTCAGCTTGGTGAGGCATTGTGCTCATGTTACATGCGTCCCTAA